AGTGGGTCTCTCTATCAGTGAAACTGTACACATGATGTTCAAAGTTGTTCATCACAACCAATATAGTTCAAAGAGTAATAACACTGTGGTACTAGAAATACTCAACGTTGTATGACAAATTGACTATCCAAGGCAGAGCACCAGGAGAAAGCCACTTTCCACAAAACAATAGAGATATCTACTATAACAGACATGCAAAGATCAACATAGAAGTGTAAGAATATGGAAAAAATAAACTTTGACACTTCTTAAACTCCATGCATTTGTAACACTAGATCCTATGGATGTCAAAGTACATGAAATTCTCAAAAAAGAATTAAAAGTGATGATTTGTTAAAAACCTTAATGTATTATGGGTAAATACCCAAGGGATTATGGGTAAACAATGACATGAAAGAAGAAAGGCAACAAACGATATGCATGAGAACTTCAGTAAGAGGATAGAGATTTGAGGAAAGAGCCAATGAGAAATATGAGAAATCAAAACACCAAGTTTAAAAAATAAAAAATAAAAAGAATTAGTTGAACTGGGTATAGTTGCTAATGCCTGTACTCTCAGCACTTGGGTTGCTGAAGCAGAAAGATTGAAAGTTTGAAGCTAGGCTGATCTATATAAACAGTGAAACCCTATCTTCATACAAAACAACAACAAAAACAAATCAGTTGAAAACCCGGATAATAGGCCTTATTAGGCAGAACGAATGTTAGATTGTGAAAACAGATCTCTTAAACTATGTCATTCAGAGATACAGAAAACAAACAGAAATGAGTGTAGAAATCACTCCATGTCTTTGAGACACCACTCAAAGATCAAAATGTTGTACTATCAACAGACATACAAGCCGAGAGCACATAATGACTACTGAATGAAAAAAAAATAAGCAGAAAATTCCTCAGATCTTGACAGAGAGAAATGGTTACTTATGTGAAGAAGGACTTTAGACTCCCAAATAAACATAGCCAGAGTGAATTCCAGAATGAAATATAGTCAACTACTGAGAGTATATAATATAGAAAGAATTCTAAAATCTATGAGAAACAAGTGCCAACTCAAATTGAAAAGGAAATCCATCTGAGTACCATCAGAAACCACAAAGCCATGAAGGTATGAAATGGTGCATGTTAAAGTCCTTGAGAAAATATCAGCTGACATTACTATGCCCAATGAGGGTATCTCTATGAACTGAAGAATAACTAAAGACACTCCAAGAAAAGCAAGCACTAAGGTAATTTGTTCCTACTTGACTGGCCATTAAGGAGCCATAAATCAAGAAACAAAAGAAAGATAACAGCTGTCATAAAAACAAGGAAAAGAAAAAAATAATAACAGAGGAGTGGATGTTCAAATGAAATACAGAAAATGAATACTATTAATATAGTTAACCATCAAACTATAAAGATGAATGAAAAAAGAAAAGACTATTCAAAACAATTAGAAAAAACTCAACAAAATGACAGGGAAGAATCCATGTTGTTCTATGATAAATCCCAATGATGTCTTCCAATTAAAAGACACAGACTATCTGAATGTATTAAAAAAGAGGTAAAAATGTGTGTGGCTGTAGAGGTAGCTCAGTTAGTTGGGCAGTTGCCCAGCAGGCACAAAGGGTTTGATCCCCACCATTACACGACCCAAGTATGTCAGTGTGGTACACTTGTAATCCTAGCACTCAGAAGACGGGTAGGATTATACCCTAACATAATAAATATTATAGTCAACATCATAGTAATGGGGGAGGGACTGAAAGAATTTCCTCTAAGGAATAAGACAAGGACAGCTGCCCTTCCTGTTCTAGCACAAAAGTGGGAAACAGCCACCTTGCATTCATTGGTACCAGAGACAAATTCCTGAACAGTTCTAAACCAGTTCTCAACAGAGGAATCTTGAGTAGCTGAGAAACACTTAGAGAAATGTTCAACATCCTTAGCCAATCAAGGAAATGCATATCAAAACTACTATGAGATTCTATCCTACACCTGTCAGAATGGCTAAGATCAACAACAGAAGTGACAGCTCCTGCTGGTGACGTTCTAGAGCAAGTGGAGTACTCTTCCACTACTGGTGGCAAACTTGTACAGCCAGTATGGAAACCAATATGGAAGTTCTGCAGAAAATTGGGAAGTGCTCTACCTCTAGACCCATCTATACTACTCTTATGCATATCTTTGGGTACAAAGGATGATTCATCCTACCAAAAGTACAGTTGCTCAGCTATGTTCATAGCAGCTTTATTCATAATAGCCAGAAACTGGAAACAACCTAGATGTTCCTTAACTGAAGAATAGATAAAGAAAATGTGGAACATTTAAATATTTCATGACATCATGAAATTTACAGGCAATAGATGGAACTAGAAAAGATAATCCTGAGTGAGGTAGCCCAGACCCAGAAAGACAAGCATGGTGTGTAGTCACTTATAGATAGATATTAGCTGTTAATTAAAGGATAATCATGCTGCAATCCACAGACCTAGAAAGGTTAAGTAATGAAGGATCATGGGAGCACACATGGATCTCCATGGGAAGGGAAAATAAAATACATCTTGTAAGCAACTAGGGATAGATGGAGATGAGAATAGGAGGAATCAGTCAGGGCTGGGAGCGATGGTGAGAGAGAATACTGGGAAAGACAAATGGAATCGGGGCATTTAGGGCATGATATAGAAACCTACTACAGTAGAGCTCCCTGAACACTACAAGAGTGGCCATAGTAAAATCTCCTAGGAACAGGTGATATGGAGCCTGAAATGGCCATCTTCTATAACTAGGCAAGGTTCTTAGCAATAGGATTAAGACATCAACCCAGCTACCAAACCTCTGACCTACCAGCTGTCCTGCCAGTAAGACTTGCTGGGGCAATGGTGGCACAGTACTTGGCAGAGTGGCCAATCCTTGACTGGTTCAACTTGAGGCCCGTACCACAAGAGGGAGCCTGTGCCTGACACTGCCTGGAAGGTTAGGAACCAAAGGCAGGATAGCCCAGAGACCTAGGACCAAACTAAACACAACTAGTAACCCCCCCTCAAAAAAAGACAGTGAAATGATTTTTAGTGATATTCTGCTATACTCATAGATTGACGCTTAGCCCAATTGTCATCAGAGGGGTGTCATTCAATAACTGATGGTAGCAGATGCAGAGAATGGGAGAGCGGATGCGTAGGAACCATGCAGAAATGGAGGGAAAAAGTGTAGGAGCCAGGGGAGTTGAGGACACTATAAGAACAGGGCCTACCACAAATAAGCAGGGATTATAGGGGGGGCTCATAAAAACTGAAGGTATGAACATGATCTAGGTCCTCTGCATACACTTTATAGTTGTGTATCTAGGTATTCTTGCAGAACTCCCAATAATGGGGGTTGGGGATATCTCTGACTTTTGCTTGCTCTTGGGATCCTTTACCTTCTACTGAGTTGCCACATCCATCATGTTATGAGGGTTTATGCCCAGTCTTATTGTATTTTGTTAGGCCATGTTCGGTGGCTATTTAGGGCAGGGGGCTTCCCTCCCTCCCTCCCTCCCTCCCTTCCTCTCTTTCTCTCTATCTCAGAGGAGGAGGAGAAAGAGGAAGAGTAGGAGGAAGAGAAGGAGGAGGAGGAGGAAGAAGAGGAGGAGGAGGAAGAGGAGGAGGAGGGAGAAGAGGAGGAGGAGGAGGAAGAGAAGGAGGAGGAAGAAGAGGAGGAGGAGGAGGAAGAAGAGGAGGAGGAGGAAGAAGAGGAGGAGGAGGAAGAGGAGGAGGAGGAGGAAGAGGAGGAGGAGGAGGAGGAGGAAGAGGAGGAG